GTTTTAAGTGCGAAGAGAAGTTTACACCGGGTCATCAGTGCAAGCAAGCCTTTGTGATCGAAGTTGCTAATCCCGATGAGGAAGGATCCGAGACCGAGGAGGAACCACCTCAGGACATCATAGTTGAAGGGCCTGACGAAGAAGCAGAAATCTCGATGCACGCGATGGCCGGGATACGAGGTCCCCGGACAATGCGCTTGCCAGCGTGGGTCAGGGATTGAAAGGTGATGGTACTAGTAGACAACGGGTCATCACACAACTTCATCAACGCCGAGTTGTCTCAAAAGCTGAACTTACCAACCACGAAAATTGAGCCATTTGAGGTACGAGTGGCCAATGGTGAAAGGTTGCAATGCACTAAATCCTTCCGGAAGGTGCCAATCAGGTTCAACAGAGTTACGGTGAAGGCTGATCTCTATGCCTTACCACTGGTTGGGCCGGATGTCGTCCTAGGAGTACAATGGCTCGAGGGATTAGGCAAGGTGACCACTGACTATCGAACAGGAATTATGGAGTTCGACTCCGGCGGTCAACGAGTCACACTCAGTTCAGGTAATGAAAAGGATGCCAAAGAAGTAGGGCTCAAGAGCATTGAGAAGGTCTGGCGGGGAGGAGGGCAAATATTTGTCGTACTCGTGGAAAAGACTGAGACGCACAAGGATCAAGAAGAGCAACAGCAGGGAGATGTGCACGAGCTTCTCCAGGAATTTGAGGGAGTACTGGGCGAACCTAAGGGACTACCTCCACACCGGGAATTTGATCATCGCATACCTCTGGTTAATGAACAGCATGCCATACATGTCCACCCCTATAGGTACGCTCACTTTCAGAAAACCGAGATCGAACGGCAAGTTGCAGAGATGCTAGAGTCAGGACTAATCCAGCACAGCAAAAGTCTGTTTTCTTCTCCTGTACTGTTAGCTAAAAAGAAAGACGGCACGTGGAGGTTCTGTACTGACTACCGAGCCCTAAACGCTGCAACCATCAAGGACCGGTTTCCTATTCCAAGCGTTGATGACATGCTTGATGAGTTAGCAGGGTCACGTTATTTCTCTAAGCTCGATCTGAGAGCTGGTTACCATCAGATTCGACTCCACCAAGCCGACATTCCCAAAACGGCCTTTCGCACACACCAGGGACACTATGAGTATCTTGTCATGCCGTTCGGATTATGCAACGCCCCATCCACTTTTCAGTTCGCCATGAATTCTATCTTCAAGGAGTATCTGCGAAAGTTCGTTCTAGTATTCTTTGACGATATCCTGATCTACTCGAAGTCGTGGGGCGAACATCTTGGGCATCTAAGAATAGTTCTCGAAATTTTGGAGACCAACTCATTCCACATCAAACCATCCAAATGTTCATTCGGGCAGGAGATGGTTGAATATCTTGGTCATTTCATATCTCATGACGGTGTGAAGGTCGACCCACGAAAGATTGAGGCTATGGTCGATTGGCCTAAGCCAACAAGTCTCACGCAGATGAGAGGATTCCTCAGACTCACAGGCTACTACCGAAAGTTCGTAAAGGATTATGGAACCATCGCCAAGCCACTGACAGCAATGACTAAGAAAGGCGGGTTCACATGGACCGAAGCTAGCGAGGAGGCGTTTGGAAAATTGAAGGAAGCCATGACTACAACGCCAGTACTTGCCATGCCCAGGTTTGATGTCTTGTTCGAGGTACACACCGATGCGAGCGACATTGGAATTGGAGCTGTACTAGTGCAAGAGGGGCGACCCCTAGCCTATCTCAGTAAAGCGCTGGGCACTACTCGATTGGGTCTGTCAGTGTACGTGAAAGAGATGCTAGTGGTTGTCGAGGCCGTACGGTGCTGGAGGCCTTATTTATTAGGACGACGTTTTCAGATTGTTACCGACCAACAGCCACTTAAGCACCTATTGGAGCAAAGGATTGTTACCCCCGAGCAACAGAAGTTCGTGTCTAAACTTATGGGGTTTGACTTCGAGATAATCTATCGACCAGGTCGACAGAACGCAGTAGCCGACGCACTATCCCGACGAACAGACGTGGCCGAGTTGAGTGCAATCACTGGGCCTACATGGGCAATTTGGGAAGAGATCAGGAAGGCGCAAGTAGAGGATACCCATTGCCAGGAGCTGCGCCAATCAATAGAAGCAGGTAAGACGACTGCTATCGATTACGAGTTGCATAACGGTCTACTTCTACACCGAGGACGAGTCTATGTCCCCGACAGTGGGCAGTTGCGCGAGCAGATATTGCAGCACTTCCGTGACTCTAAGGTTGGAGGCCACTCGGGTATCTATCGCACGTGGATGAGAATAGCCAACACTTTCTTCTGGCCGGGACAGCAGAGTACCGTCCGAGACTACATAGCACGATGCGATGATTTCCAGCGTACTAAGTCTGACTCACGACGGCCGAGTGGGCTATTGCAACCACTACCAGTACCCGAGGCAATTTGGGAAGACATCACCATGGATTTCATCGAGGGGCTACCAAATTCTAATGGATTTGACGGTGTTATGGTTGTGGTGGATCGTCTCACGAAGTATGCTCACTTCATACCCATTACCCATCCTTACACCGCAAGGTCGATTGCCAGGTTATTCGTGGAGTACATGATGAAACTGCATGGAGCACCTCGATCCATCGTCTCTGATTGAGACCAAAATTTTATGAGCAGCTTTTGGTCTGAATTCTTCAAGTTACAAGGGACTAAATTGTCTATGAGTTCAGCCTACCATCCACAAACAGACGGACAAAACGGAGGTAACCAACCGAACCCTTGAGCAGTATTTGAGGTGCTACGTCCATCAATTCCCAAAGCGGTGGGAAAACTTTTTACCATGGGCTGAATATTGGTACAACACCACTTACCACGAGTCGACCAAGATGACGCCATTCGAATTGGTCTATGGGCGAAAACCCCCAACATTGATCAACTATTCAGAGGGGAGTACAGTCAACGATGAGGTTGGTCGAGAACTAGAGGAACGAGATTTGATGTTACGTGAGCTGAAGAGAAATCTCGAAGGCTCAATTAATCGAACCAAAGCCTTCGCGGATGGGAAAAGGCGTGAGGAAAATCTTGTACCAGGCGAGTATGTCTACCTGAAGCTACGACCATTCAGACAGCGTACGACAGCGCAAAGGCCCGCAACTAAGTTGGGAGTCCGCTACTATGGGCCTTATCAGATTCTAAAGCGTATT